GGTTCAACTGTATTTAAAATACTGTCAATAACAACATTGTGGAGGTGTGGTTGCCTCATGGTTAGTGCGCTCGTCGCTGAATCAAGTGGTGTGGGTTCTAGCTTTAGCCAGGGACATTGTGTTGTGTTCTTTGGCAAACACTTAACTCTCACAGTGCCTCTGTCCACCCAGGTGTATAAATGGGTAATGGTGAATTTAGTACTGGGGATTAACCCTGTAATGGACTAGTATCCCATCCAGGGGGGACATACTCTTGGTCACTTCATGCTACAGAAACCAGGATAAGCTCCAGCCTGATGCACCTCTTGGCTTGTATGCAGACTTACCTAACAACAACATGGTCCTTTAGTAAATGGTTTGAACCCAGGAGTATCAGTGGTTCATATCTATAGTGTGATTGGCCGGGTTAGGGTTAGTTCTTAAAAGAACTGCTCTTGGTGACTGACATTGACCTTGACTCTGAAGATGACCTCTACTCAGATTGTCAAAATGTGAGTCACCAACAACAGTTCTTTTCAGAACTACCCTCACCCAGATGATCACACTATATGAACAACATGGTCCTTTGGTTAAAAAAATTGGTATATAAAACCCAGTTAAAACAGCTGAATCTTCACTAAAGGCCACCTCTCTACAGCAGCCACTCTTTTGGTCCCAGCTGACAGTCCATACACTCACTCTTATTTTAACTTCTCTACAATGGCCGCCTCTCCACAACTGCATCTAAAATGGGTACCAACTGCCAAAATAACCTGTCAACAATGACCACTTAATCAGTGACTGATGAACAGTGTAAGCAAAACCCCATTTTTTATGGTAAAAAGGTTACCAAACTTGATCCGACCACACACCATTGGTCTCTCTTTCTGTCTAGTTTCTGTCCTATTCATTGATATAGTTTGAATGCGTTAAGTATTTGTAAGCTAAAATAAGCATTTTCTTTAAGACAAAAAAAGTTGCACCCCCAAAAACGGTCTGTGTCATGTTACACCCCTGCTGTACCTCCCCATAATGGACACCTCTCTATTATGGCCACTTACCTTTGTTCCCGAGTAGGCCATTGTGGAAAGGTTCAACTGCAAACTACAATAAATTTATTTATTGTCCTTTTCTAGATTTCC